CATTCCTCCAAAACTTAACTCTTCTCCTTTCTGTTGTGCTGAAGTGCAGCTAACAGCCTGTCCTGTGCTAGCCCGGAGTGGATTATCTTTCCCTTTTCCTCATCCTTATTTTATGGGTACCATTGTTTGGCATTCTGTAATAGGGGAAGGTAGGGGAAGATTTATTAAAAAATCGTGGTAATGAATTTGTGACTTCATATCACAGAATCACAGAATATTCAAGATTGGAAGGGACCTCTAGAGATCATCTAGTCCAACCTTCCCGCTCAAGCAGGGACACCCAGGGTGGCAGCCAGATGGGTTTGGAAGATCTCCAGAGAAGGAGACTCCACAGCCTCCCTGGGCAGCCTCTTCCAGGGCTCTGGCACCCTCACAGGAAAGAAGTTCCTCCTCACATGGAGATGGAACTGCCTGTGTTGCAGCGTACACCCATTGCCCCTTGTCCAGTCCCTGGTCACCACTGAGAAGAGCTTGGCCCCCTCCACTCTACATTCTCCTTTCATGAACTTATACATATTAATTAAATCCCCTCTCAGCCTTCTCCAGGATAAACATGCCCAACTCACTCAGTCTCTCCTCAGACGAGAGATGTTCCAGTCCCTTAATCATCTTTGTCGTTCTCCGCTGGACCCTCTCCAGAAGCTCCACATCCCTCCTATCCTGGGGAGCCCAGAACTGCCCCCAATACTCCAGGTGCGGCCTCACCAGAGCTGAGCAGAGGGGCAGGATCCCCTCCCTTCACCTGCTGGCAACATCCTCCTGATGCAGCCAGGATCCCATTGGCCTTCTTGGCCACAAGGGCACTGCTGCCTCATGGTTAACTTGGTGTCAACCAGGACTCCCAGGTCCCTCTCCGTGGAGCTGCTCTCCAGCAGGTCAACCCCTAATCTGTCCTGGTGCCTGGGGTTATTCCTCCCCAGATGCAAGACCCTGCACTTAATATGTGGGTACTTGCAGACTTACAGGATCGTGGGGATTTTCTGATCACTTTGTGCCTGGATCAGAAAAAAACCTTATTTTTCTTTTGTTTTTGTCTCCAATCGAGCGCCCTGGGCCTGGGGCCGAGTTGCCTCTGCAGCAGCAGGACGGGGGCCTGGGGGTCCCGGCAGGTTCATCTTTGGTGGCTGTCCCATCCGTGCTGCTTAGCAGTCACCCCTGCTTGTTTGTTTGGATTCCAGTTATTTTGACAAGGAGCTCTTTACTGCTTCCCATAAGGTGCGAGGTCTTGGCTTATCCCCAACGTGCAGCCTTCCTTGCTGGTGGAAGGAGGTCTCCCTTGTGCCTTCCCGCTCTCCACGGTGGGGTGATCAGTATTCCTTTTCCATCTGCACCCTTTGTCTATAGGTAAAGGTCTGAATCCTCCCTGATTATGTTACCATGAGGACTTTTGTGTTGATTTAATGTCATTTTCTGCACCCAATTCCCCTTTTGAAAGGGTAAGAGAGGTGTTAGTAAACTGAGCATGCAGGTGTTCCTTGCTCAGCTTGATCCCTGCCTGCTTGTCCAAGAGCGGGGAGTGCAAAGATGATTTTCCCCTTTCCTGCAGCTTCAGAAGCAACAGCAGAAACTTGTCAGCCTGCAGCAGCACATCGGCCTGCTAGGCTTTGAGCACTGTATCCTGGCAACTGAAAGTATTTTTAAACAAGTGTTTCAGTTTTCATCAGTGTCATTCTCATCAGTCACAGAATTGCGAATTTGATAACTTCATAATGGTTTGTTTGTCACCACGAGTTCTCGAGAAGTGAGAAGAATGAAGAAAATAAACATTTATTAAATGAGCCACCGTCGCCTCCAGGCCTGTCTCCTTCCAGCAATATCCCATCATCCCGTCGTGTGCCAGGCAGGCAAGAGGGCCGAGTTACGTGGAAATCAGTGAAGGCGAAGCTCACGGTTTGCAGCCAGCTCACTATGGCCCTGCATTTTCTTGAAGCCCTTGTTCCTGTTCATTTGTAGGTGATCTGTGAGCCCTCTATCTAGTTGATTGTCAGTTCCTGTCTCTCCTCCTGGTTACCCAAGCCCTGGGGTTTAGGAGGAGTTCAGTCTCGGACGGACGGTGCCTCCGTGGCGGCTCCAGCTCAGGGGTCCGCGCTGCAGAGCGCGCTCGGGCCGCCCTGCTCGGGGGCAGCTGCCTCGTCCCGGCCTGCAGCGCCCAGAGCGGCTCCGCTTTGCTCCCCCTCGCACCTGGGAGCGCCCGGAGGAGATCCAGGGAATTCCTGCTGCTTCCCTGCATCTGCAGGGGGTGCTCCCGGCCTCTTCCCTCTCCCCAGGAGCCGGCGGGAGGGCTCCTCGGAGCCTGGCAGCTGAAAGGGCAAGTTCCATTTGTTGTGGTCTTCATGTTGGTTTTCTGCCCCTTCAGATCCTTGGAGCAGCTGGTGGTGGAGTGAGGCAAGAGCCCGTGCGAGCCTCGGGGAGCAGGGGGGACCCTGAGGAGCGGAGCACAAGCAGGAGCCCCCCACAAGAGGGGAGCACAGGGGGGAGGCCCCCCCAGGAGGGGAGCGCATGGGAGAGCTCCTCAGATGGGGAGCATAGCGGGGAGCCCCTCAGGAGGAGAACACGGTGAGGAGCCCCTCAGGAGAGGAGCGTAAGGGGGAGCCCCTCATGAGGGGAGCACAGGGAACATGAGCTCTGCTCTTGGCAGCATCTTTCGTCTCCCCTGAAAACACAGAGAGAGGAACCAAGTTACTACTTTTATAAAGAAGGAAGATAATAAGCTTCAAAATACTCCTTTTCATATGATTGCAGCTTATGTGTCAGCCTTTGATTGTGCAGAAATGTGTCTGTCAGAATGATTTAGGGTTCATCCATCTGGCTGGAAGAGCCCCAGCTACGTTCCCCTTGGCTCTCTTGCAAGGTGTGAGCGTCTCGCACGTGCCAGAGCAGAGGTAAATACTGACTCGACCAGGTAACTTCCCGTGGGAGCTGGAGCCTGACTGCCACATCCTCTGTGTGATGAGGAGGGGTCAGTGGGAAAAATGGTTTCAGCAGCTTCTGCCCTGGTTGCTTCTCCTCCTCCTGCTGCTGCTTTGGAGGCTTCGGAGGGAGGCAGGGGCACGTTGCACTTGTCACGGATGGGTAAAATATAGTCAGCCTCCGAGGAGAACAGCGTGGAAGTGAGATCTTCTTGTCTCGCCCTTTGACCTGAGATTCCTCTACCGAGTATTTTAAAGCATAATTTTAATGATGTTATGGCTTTTTATTTAAAAACTGACTGCTTTAGTGGTTATATAAAAAAAGCATTTGTTGAGTAACTTTTTCTCACTTCTAGCTAATGCAGGAGCACAAGAGCAAGAACCAAAAGATCTGTATTCTTCAAAAACACCAGACTTCTCGTTCACTAAAACACTCGGCATTGTCTGTCTTCAGCTTTCAGCGACTACGTTTTCCTCAAAATGTCAGTGTCCCTTCTCACACCAGGCAGGTTTTCCCACAGGCTCCTGCGGGGTTTGGATGCCCAAGCAGGGCAGCACCCTCCTCCTCCTGCCTCTCGCCTGGCGTCCGTGGCCAGGCCGAGCCCAGGGCTTGGGGGGCCCTCGCTGGAGGGAGCCCCAGTTTCGGCTCTGTCGCCCTTGCAGGGCTGCAGCAGCCCCAAACACGAGAAGCTGGGTCAGGCTTCCTGGCTCCTTGGCTCTGCTTTGGCGGATTTATTTTGAAGTGGAGACTAAGATGACATTTGCATTACTTTGTGGTTTGGTTCAGGGTAAGATGTGTTTACGCTCTCATTTCTAATTTGCCTGGTGTTTTGAAAATAGTGTCTTCCTGATGGCCTTTTCTTGCTTCATAAGGCAAGTTCTGCCAAGGAAGCGTGAATAGCAATCAATTAAATCCCATTTTTCCTTGTTTAATTGATGCTTGAAGAACATGCTGCAGTCTTTTTATTTTTTTCCCCCTTCCATTCACTGAACTGCAATCCCTAGCCCTGGATAACTGCATTTGAGTCATCTGCTTGACATTTCTTCTAAGCTGTGGCCGAGAATTCAATAGTTACTGTGTGTTTCCGTTAGGTATCAGGGAAAGGTTGCACATTTTAATGACACCTCGACACCTAATGATTACCTTGTAATGGTGTAGGGAGGGCTCGAATGAAAACTTGGTGTCCTGGTCTGGTAGCACAATTAATAGCAGTATTAATCATTACTGTGTATGTCTTGTGTATTATCAGCCTTGGGCAGCCTTTGGGTTATTAGATTATCATAGCATGGTATGTATTTTGTTGAAATCCAAGTATTTTGTTGAAATACATACCACTTGTACCAGTACTTCATCAGCTCCAGAACGAGCTAGACCTGTGATGTGTTTGGTTATGGATTGGAGTCTTGGAATGGTTTTACCTTCATGTATTCAGACATACTTAGGCCTAACTTAGGTTAGCTTTTGCCCAGAAATATGTCTAGCTCACTATTGTTTTCCTCTTTTCTTTAAGAACAAATCCAAAAAACCCCAAGACACTAGGGGAGGTGTGGTCTTGCATTGCCAAAGGTTAATGTCTTAGGGATATGGTCATTCCTTGTGCTGGTGGGGAGGGAATGTCCGAGCTGACACAAGGCACCCACTGTGAAGTTCTCGGCCCCAGTGCACTGAGGCCTTTCAGAGTGAATTATTATCCAGTTATTATTACAAAGTCTGGCTCACAAACTCCTCAGAAAGTGTTTTTGTTGTTGTAAGAGCTAATGCAGGAAAACTTAGTTCTTTTTTATAGTATGATAGCTGTGAAAATACTGGGAAAAGAAGTTTAGTAAAATGAGGTGCAAGGACTTCGCAGATCCATGCCAAGAACTATTTGCTGGCGTATGCAGAAACTAGTTATGTTTATAACTTATGTCATTTATAGTGATCAAATCAGGTATTTGTCTGTTTTGTGGGGTGAGGGAGTTCAGTCCTGCACTAAAATGTTCTTGAAATTCTTGAAAGACCGAAGCTGGAGGACCGGGAGACATAGAAACAAGAGAAAAAAATAAAATGTGATTGTACAGTACTGCTTGTTTATGGTTTCTTCTGGTGTCATGGTATTTTATATCAAGGTAAACCATTAATGCTCTTTATCTTTATTTTTCTTATTTTTCAATGCTGCCACTAGAACCTTGCATTGCAATTAGTGTTTGTGGTGAACATCCTCAGTGAAAATGCACTATTTTCAAAGTATCTGTTTGCAGATAACTCTGATTTCTAAGTTCATCAAGCTTCTCGTCATTCACAGAGTAAGTTCAGTAATATGAATTCTGCTGCTGACAGTTTTTAACCTTGATTTTTGGTTGACTGTTACAGGAAAGATAAATTTCAGCCTTTATTTCTACTTAGCTTTTCCACCGGATCCCCATTTTAAACTCTGATAGCAGCTGCTGACAGGAATAGCAGTGCCTTGTGCAGTAGACGTTCCCTTACATAAAGCACAGTCATTCAGTAGAAAATTATATTAAATGTTTTCAGCATTTTAGAACTGTTCGAGAAATGTCGTGTCAGCTAGAAAGGAGAGCAAGATTGATCATTGGAGACTTATTTAGTAAAGCTTTATGTTCTAATGACTTTTTTGGCTGTTTTTAAGGAGAAAGGGTTTTCTGTTTGCTTGTTTGTTTATTTGAGTTCTATGGATGTGTGGGGTGATACGGACTGGGCTTCAAACTCAAACTGGGATGAGTGACCACAGAGGGGTTTGAGGCTGGAGGGAATCTCCCTCCTGTTCCCAGATCTCAGTGTTTGGGATTTAGTAACTGGAATCCTGGAGTTTGGCCAGCCTGGGGCTTGTTCTATGAGCAATGCCTTTGGAAGCAGAGAAATGAGGTGCCAGGGAAAACACGAGTGTGCTGAGGCTTGCTCCTAGTGCCGTTACCTTCCTGAGGAAGTACAAAACCAACTGGGTGAAATTGGGACCCAAATTGGTTTTGTCTCTGAGGCAGCTGCTGTTGAGTCCTGGGTAAAAGGAGTATAATAATGTTGGAAAGGTATTTCCAAGTACACAACCATTCTGCCTAGTAATCCTAACATACAAGGGGAAAAACTCTTTAATCTCCCTTTCCCCAAAAGCAGGAACACTTTTTATAGCTAACATGACAGAGAAGTGGTTATATTTTTTTTTTCCTCCTGTTATTTTGCTCTGCTGCAATAATTTAGTGTTGTCTTCAGACAGCTGCTGTGCTGAATATCCTGTCCTGGCTTTCGCAGGCGGCTGAGAAAAAGAAAATTGTAGCTGAAAACAGACACCCTCTATGTTTGATGGTTTTCAAACACGTTTGTCTCAGGTACCATTAGAAACTGTAAGTGCTTTGATTTGGAGCTGTTAAGGATTAAATACTCACAGTCCACCCTATTTACTCTATAAATTTTATTAGTATGAAAAGTCAGACCTTCGTAGCAAAAAGGTACTGATATTTCCATTTCTGAGGCACTGTTTTCTCTTTTTCTGCCTTCACCACTTGAACTTAATTTATGGAAATAGTTGTAATAGTGCAGTCTGTCTAATGATTCCATTAAATAAGTCTTTATGCACAAGAAGCAGATTGAGGGTGTCACTTGTTTTCTAATATATATTCCAAGCAAGAAGTATTTTCTTAGCGAAAAATGTAATTGAGAGGTAGTAAAATCAGAGATCTTAAACTTGGCCGTGGCTTTGATTAGAAAACTTATTTCTCATGGAAATTTAGCGTAGAATACCAAATCTCTTAGTAAAAAAAGAACAAAATCCTACTTTTTCTCAAGAAAGAAAACACCTTTCACATTTGCTCTATTGGTTTTGGTTATGTAACAAAGCATTTGGATTTTCAAGGCTTCCAAGAGGTAATTTTTATCCTAACTTATTAGCTAATCCAGCAAACCATCTGATGTGTGTGTGCAAAAGGAGGTGGAGGTTTAGACTCTTGATTAATAGCAATAAAGAAATCCCCCATCAGCTGAGGCTCTGTTTAATGAACTTTTGATCAACTCTTGTGTGACTGGTTTCTAATTATATAGCATTTGAAAGTGGCTGATTCTTACTTTAATGCTGTTTGATCAGTTTGTTACTACCTCTTTATAGAGGAAAACCTGAGCCCGAGTGCCTGGCTTTCACTCCCGTTCTGGGCGCAGGGCACGGTGTCCTGGCTGTTAAAGCGCAGCAGGGTTGAGGCTGGAAGGCTGGAGGTGACCGAGGCCGACCCCTCAGAGCACCTTTCCGAGGGTCCTGTCCCAAGGCTGAGGAGCTTCCCCAGGGCAGGAGCCTCCGCAGTCCCTCTGGGCGGCCTCTCCCGGGGCTCCGGCGCCCTCCCAGCACGTGAGTTTTCCCTCACATTCAGCTACACGTTCCTGTGTTTCAGGTTGTGCTCTTGTCTCTCGTGCTGTCCCTGAGCACCACCGACACGAGTCTGGCTCCATCCTCTCTGTGCTTCCCTTCAGATCACGCTGAGAAGATCCCCTGGGTCTTCTCCAGGCTGAGCACTCCCAGCCCTCTCGGCCTCAACTCCCATGGGAGATTCTCCAGTCCCTCACTGACCTCAGCAGCCCTTCCCGGGCAGTAACTCCCTGTCTCTCCTGTCCTGGGGAGCCCAGAACCGGACCCAGACATGGAGGGCTGAGCAAGGCTGAGATTTAACACGAGCAGCCCTTGGACTGGAAGCCCCTGGGCTCAACAGGGCCGGGGCTGGTGGAGCAGCGGCCGCGGCGCCGTCCCGCCTGCCCAGGGACACGGTGACAAGGGGCAGCGGGGCTGAACACCCGCCGGCTTTAATAATCCCGGCGGTGCAGCAAGAACATCGGGAAAACCTCCCCAAAAGCAAATGGGAGAAGAAAATGCTGCGTTAGGGAGAACTGTCGCTCTCCCAGCTTGAAGGGACTGTCTCCGTCAAGTCTCTCTTCGGACAGTCACTGTTCTGTGAAGCAGCTCGAGCTCCCGGAGAAGACGTTTGGTTTGTGCAGATGCTCAGGCAGCTTCATGAGATGGGGTCTGTGTGGTGAGCGGTAGGAATATGGTGCTGGTGGAGCCTGTGGGGCCAGCGGAGCCTGCGGGGCGACCCCGCCGTGGCAGCAGCCCCAGTGCCCCGAGTGCCTGGTTAAAACTGCCCCTGAGAAGGAATTTCAAGAGAAGTTTTGCCTTTTTCCCCTCTTAATAAATGCAGCTTCAGGACCAAAGTGTTTTACACTGATTTACACGTTGATTGGTTGCAATTTGGGGGCAGTCTTGGTTTCTCAGTAGTCGCCAGCAGAGAACAACCTCAGCCTCTTGGAAAGGGTATTTATGTCTTTGGATTTCACAGTTTCTGCTTACCTCTTACTTTCCCTGGTGTCTTTTGCGCCCTGATTTAATGTATAAAGTTTTCTTACAATACTAGTAGGTTTGGCAATTTTAAAATACAGCTCAATGCTAAGTTCACTGGGTGTCTTGTTACTTTTAACACCAGGATAGAATTGCAGATGGAGAGAGTAGGGAAAGGGGAAGGCTCTTGCAAGAGCCATCGTTCCCTTTGTGGACACAGAAATATCCTGGCTATGTCCTGTGAGACAGGGCTTGTTAGCTGGCATCATAAGCTACCAAATCTAGTGTCCTTATCCCCAAAAGGTGGGTGAGGATGAGGTGGTGTTCGCTGCTGCTGGGGTTTAAGTTATGCAGTTAGAGTTCGAATGTTACAGTGCTACAGTTTGAAGAACAAACTTTGAACAACCAAAGTAATCTCAAAAATCCAATTTCTTCTTTTGTACAGAAAGCCTCAAGCTCAAAACTGAAGAAAAAAGCAACTAAAACGCAAGAAGCCAAAAAAATCTTGAAGAAGAAATTCAAAGTCAACACCAAAATAGTCTTTACTGAAGATGGAGAGGTAAGACCAATTCAGAATGTGCGGTTTTCATAAGTGGGTTCAGTTTTGCAAATCAGATCAACTTTTGTTTAAATTCAGTTCCACTAGAGGAAAAAAAGACATGTTGAGGAAAGACTAAGTGAGCGAGGCTGGTTTGGCCTAGCGAAGAGAAGGCTGAGAGGGGATCTGATCAATATGTTGATGGGAGGGGGACCTGGGGGGAGAGTGTAGGGAGGATGAGGCCAAACTCTTCTTGGTGGTGGCCAATGACAGGACAAGGGGCAATGGGTACAAATCGAAACACAGGCAGTTCCATCTCCATGTGAGGAGGAACTTCTTCACTGTGAGGGTGCCAGAGCCCTGGCACAGGCTGCCCAGGGAGGCTGTGGAGTCTCCTTCCCTGGAGATCTTCCAAAGCCGCCTGGCTGCCACCCTGTGCCCCGTGCTCTGGGTGTCCCTGCTGGAGCAGGGGGTGGGACTGGGTGATCTCTAGAGGTCCCTTCCAGCCTCAACCCTCCTGTGGGTCTGTGATCGAGCACTGACCTCTGTTCACACAGTATGTGTGGGTTCATGTGAGAGCTGCTGGTGTCTTTATTCAACCCTACCTATTTGCTGCCTATTAAATCCAATTGCAAGTGGAGTAAAGATCCCATTTTTCCTTACAGAATCGTAACTTCCTTGCAGATGCTCCCTTCCCCATAGCATTGAGTTAAAATACTGGAATTAGAGACTCAGTCCCTGGTTCTGTTTCCACCAGTCGCTGTTCCAGGTTCAAAATGTTGTCAGCAAAGCGGCGGTCGGGCCAGCCAGGGCTGCCGCCAGCTGCTGCCAGTGCAGCGGAGCTTTGGAATTTGCCAGTAACTTAATTGCATCTCGCAGTAGCCCCTGGAAAAAATGTATTGATTTTTATACGGAGAAGAACTATCGTAAATAGCTCGTCACTCTAGGGTTTCGGTGTGATAAACTCAGAATAAAATCTGCACGCTCCACAAAGGTTCCCAACGTGCGCTCTCGCAGCTCAGGTGCTGCGTGGGGGGGTTTCCAGGTCTGGTGATTTAAAAAGGAAAAAGTAGCTTTTTTTTTCCTTCTCTGGATTAATTTCAGTAAAATCTGAACTAATAGAGATGTCACATTTACAAATATTTCACTTATTTTTGTGACTTGACATTAGGCTATTTCTGAAGTATTTTATATTGCAGGTGAAAAGATCTTAGCCATATTACTATTTTTTGATGAAATATAAAAGTTTTGAGAAGTTTCTCAGTTGATTAGAAATAGTATATTAAAATATGCAAAACTAGTCATCTCTGAAATGTATGTGCAACATTTGCATTGTTCATACTTATATATGAACATATATGAACATATGAACATGAAGTATACTTCATACTTCATAATATTTATATATAGTTATATATTATGCTCTTTTCCAAGTAACTCATTTGAAACGGGTATTATAGAGTTGTCATATAATCATCTCTGATCAGTGAAGAAACAACAGAAATACTGGTTTGGGTTTGGAAGACATCTTTTACTGGCGGTTACTGTCTGTCTGGCATCAGGAGGAAGCCAGAGAAGAAGCCCACAAAAACAAAAATATATGAGTACATGCACACATGCTTTCCTACTTAGAAATAAGCCAAAAGAGAAGAAAACATAAAATTAATAAATGAATGTGCAAAGATGAGCTTTAATTTTTATTTGACCATAAACGTGTAGTGCATTGCTTAGGAAACCAAAACTTTGGTGTGTAAAAGTGTTTCTATTCATTGCTTGTTGTTGAATTTAGTTGGTGCAGCAGTGGCCTCCTGTGCAGAAATCCAGTTTGGCGAACGCAGATGAGGAAGATGAGGCCAATGGGATCAACTTAGATAAAGTGAAAGAAATCCTGCGAGAAGAAGACAAGTTTGACAAAGAAGAATACAGGAAGAAAATTAAAGAAAAGCATAGGGTGAGTCGATCCTTTCCTCAATTACTGAAATCCAAAATGAGATACTGTAGTATGTTTGAATAGCTCAGTAAGAATATGCATTAAAATATATTAAGAAGTAAGTGTAATACAAGCTTCTGTGTTCAAACTCATCTGCTTTTTATTTATCCTTGTCTGAAGCGGGGTTTCCTAACCTTGCCAAGTACCAGTTTTACATATCTGAATGTCTTTAGTGCTCAGAGACTGTTCTCTTAGTCACTGTGGAAGGGTTTGGATTTATTCAGGCAGTTGATAAATGATTGATACCAGGACTATTAAATGTCTGTTTTATTCCCAGAATTTCTAATTTCCAAAGCATTTTAAATATGATGTTTTACCTCTATGTAGTTTGATTAGATCTACTAAATCATTACTGAATGATACTGAATGGGTGTTCTGATGTGAGGTAAGGTTTATATTCGAAGGAAATAATTTGGAGAGGATTTGGGAAAGCTTCAAGTTACATTTGGGCACTTAAGTTTTACATCTAAAGTCAAGTTCAACTTACCTCAGTTAATTTGGAAGTCTTTCCCTGTAGTCCTGTTAGTCATTTGAGGTCTGTGAAAACGTCACCTCATTTTTCATTAGCGAAGTCTTACATTGGGGAGCAGCTGCAAGGAGGTTGTGTTTGCTGTAGTGCAGGTGAGATCATAGCCAGCTTTTTGGGGATACAAAACCACTGGCTTCCAAGAGTGCACCTTAATAAACGAGGAAGGACGGATTGATTTATAACGTTCCAGTCAATCTGCTTTTGTAGTGATGAATTCATACATATCCCGAGTGAAGCTTCTGGATATCCATCATTGGAGTGTAATGATTAAATACTTCATCAGTGGGTCCCTTAACACACCTTCATCTTTATAATGCCATAGACCAAGTGTCATTGATCGTATACTTATATTAAAACATTATTTTGCCTGTAGAGGTACTGTGAAGAGAAACCTATGAAGAGAAATGTCTCTTTTTGAAAGAGTGACAGATGAAAGAAATAGGACATGCTGCAGCATAAATACATTTTTTCCTCCCCTAATTATGGAAAGTTTTAGGTTAGTTGTAACCTACCTTACTGCATGCGGAGAGGAATTTATTTTTCACATTCCACCTAATTATTGTCCTTTATAAAATGAAATAAAAGAACTGCATGTCGTATTGGCAAAAGGGGAAAAAAAGGAGGCTTCTGCCTGAGGAGCTGTGAAATGTGCCTCTGGTTTCCAGGGCTGCCTTGTGGCCTGCAGTCATTGCGTGCAAGTTCGGGTTTGTCACTCTGGGTCAAAAACTGGGGATGAAAAATGGTTAACGTGGTGAGTTCTTTGCATGTGGTGAGGCATTCGCTTTCTTGGTTGTGATTTCTCTTGTGAAATGATGGTCCTTAACCCTGATTCTAGAAGGCTTCAGGTTTGAGATGCCCATGAATTTTAAGTACAAACTGGCCCAGGCTGCGTAAGGAGAGGCTGCCGCAAAGCGGGAGTGTGATCTGAGCGCGCCGGCCCGCTGAGCCGCCCCTGCTGCGCAGGCCTCTTGGCTGCTCCTGCTGCCCAGGAAAAGCTGTAGAGGTTGTGGCTTGGAAACCCCCTGAGGTCCTGCCCTTTAGGCTGGCCCAAGTAGGGGCGAGTGGTACCCCCTTTGTCCTGAGCGGCCTTCGTGCCCTCTGGGGATCTCCTCACTGCTTCCCGTGGCCTCGGAAGCTGCGTTGGTGTAATGTGGAGAAGATGATACCCCAAAGTTCTGAGTAGAAAATATGTGATTAAATTCACACTGGTGGGGGAAATTCCTTGACATAGTAACATGAGGTATTCAGAAATGCTCTTCATCTGTTCAGGCTTTTGGTTTGTCACTGATTTCTTTTTTCCTGAATTTGGTGCATTTGTTAAGTGGGGCAAGTCAACTTTTCATTATAAAAAGGATAGGATGTGGCAAGAGATTTTTAAGACTGAATCAAGAGAAACACCTTTAGAACTGACTACAGTAAAAGTGTTGCACCCTCACATTGACCACCCAGTGGTGTTAAAAACTCACCTACCTCATAAGGTTTCTCTTCCCGAAAGACGAGAGAATGGCAGAGCAGACTCAGCTTTGAGCTGAGTGAGAGTCAATTAGGCAGTGGTTAACGGATTCCTCACTGAGTTTTATTTAATGGCTTTGGTCCTGTGCCTGTCGAGTACAGTCTGGAGCAATCCCGGCAGTCCGTGACACTGGGTGACACATCAAGGAGGAGCTCGAACGAGGGGAGCTCCACGAGATCTCTCGTTTTGGGGGCCTGAAGTTCCTGCCCTTGGATATCACTGGAAGAGGCTGCCCAGGGAGGCTGTGGAGTCTCCTTCTCTGGAGATCTTCCAAAGCCGCCTGGCTGCCACCCTGTGCCCCGTGCTCTGGGTGTCCCTGCTGGAGCAGGGGGTTGCACTGGCTGATCCCTAGAGGTCCCTTCCAACCTCAGCCCTCCTGTGGTTCTGTGATATGTGAAATGTGAAGGTCTCTCCTGTGCAGTGGGAACAGGGCAGAGCGCCCTGGGACTTGCAGGGCAAGAGTAACGCAGGTACGACCCACACGGCCTGTGCAGAAGTCTCATTCACAGAGACTGGCCCTGAGAGCCAGAGAATTAAATCAGGTGTGTCACGTTGCCAGGTATTATTCTTAATATAAGAATCTTGGCCATAAAGATCCGTTGTGCAGCCAGCATGCCGACCTGCAGATGTTTGCTACGTGTGGAAAAATTAAATGTTCACCTTGAGTAGTCCCTTTTTTCGATGCATTAGGGGATGATGTTTTTCAAGGCACCTTGCTAGAATAATAATTATATATTTCTAAAAATCTTATTATGAAATTTGAATGCTTTGAGCCAATCTATATATGCACAAATATTACTAGTGAAGAGAAACATGAGATAGATGAGTTTTTGTTTTAATAAGCAGTGGATTCAGTACTGTTTTACCTAGCCTGATAGATTTGGCCTCTCAGGAGGCCAAGCACTATCCTGTCCAGGCCAGTCCAGTGCAATAAGAGCTGCTGTTTGCAGTTAGATCAGTTTGTGATATCCAACATTTATCAGGAAATGTATAAAGGTAAAATCCAGATTTGTGCTGTTCTTCATTTTTTGAACGTGGTTACTGTTTGTCTGCAGAAGACACCAAGTGTGAGGACCAGCAGTGCCGCGTGATGCTGGTTAGGCAGTACCGAAGTGATCACAGGAGAAACACGATGAAGCTGATTAAGGAGGGAATTGTAATTTAAAGGCGAGGCTCTTCAGATGCTGTACTTAGCCCTGCTGGTGTTTCCAGTGCTGGAGAAGCAAGAGAGAGAAGAATAAGAGAGAAATAAGTTTGGGGGAAAGCAAATGAGGCAGAAAGAAAGACAAACCATTTGAAGTATTAAGGGATGCTGTCCTTAAACATGTATTAATATTGCTGGCAATATGTGCTGATTGAAGAGGAGCTGGAATGGCCCTTTACCCAGAGGAGGCCTTTGCAGCTTCCTCGGCAGCCGAGCAGCTCCCGCCTCGTGGGAGGGCACCGGGTGCTCCCTAGGGACCAGGGGCTCCCTGGAGGCCCAGTCCAGCCTTCACCGGCCTGCGGCAGCCCGGGCTGTGTGCGAGGGGCTGGCGGGGCTGCAGCGGGGCTGGTGGGGCGGGCAGGGCTGCAGCGGGGCTGGTGGGGCTGCAGCGGGGCTGGTGGGGCTGGCAGGGCTGCAGCGGGGTGGGCAGGGCTGCAGCGGGGCTGGTGGGGCTGGCGGGGCTGCAGCGGGGC